GGAGGAGGAGGAGGAGGGCGAGCAGAAAAGCCAGAGGCCTCTTGGATGCTTCTCGGAGTCTTTTCGGATTTCTTTCGAGAGCTTCTTGTAGTTCTTTTTGGGGGTCTCTTGGCAGTCCCAGGGGCCTCTTGGAGCGTCTTGGGTGCCTCTGGGGGGCCTCTTAGAGTCTCTTGGGAGTCTCTTTGGAGCCGGGTGCATCTTGGTGGTCTCTCGTGGGCCTCTTGGAGTCTCCTGGGCCTCTTGGAGCCTTTCTGGGGCACCCTTGAGAGCCTTGGGGGCCATCTTGGGGCCATCTTGGAGGAGATCGATCAAAGGAGGGGGGCTCCTTCAACAGGGTCCACCCCCCAGGAGGCCAACATGTTGCCAACACCTTAGTGACATCCATGATCCTGGTCATCTTGCCGAGGCCTCTTGGGGCATGTTGGGTGCCTCTGGGGGGCCTCGTGGGGCGTCTTGGGGGTCTCTCGGGGGCCTCTCGGAGGCCTCTTGGGGGCCTCTTGGGGGCCTCTTGGGGCCTTCTGGTCACCTCTCGGGGCCCTCTTGGGGCACCCTCGGGAGTCTCCGGGGCCTGGGGTCATCTTGGATGCGACCAATCAAAGGAGGGGGGCTCCTTGATGAGGGGCCCCCCGAAGAGGGCAAATTGTTGCTACAACCTTAGCAATTCACATCCATGACTTTGGTCATCTCGCTAAGGCCTCTTGGGGCGTCTTGGATGCCTCTGTGAGGCCTCTTGGGGCGTTTTGGGGGTCTCTTCGGAGCCTCTTGGTGGCCTCTCGGGGGCCTCTTGGGGGCCTCTCGGGGCCTCCAGGGCACCTCTGGTGGTGGTGGTTGTCCAGTCCCGCCTGCACCGGGTGTCTCTGTGCTTGCGCCTCCGACTTAATCAGTACTCGAATTCGTCTGGGCGTTGGCCACGACCGGCTGACTCTTTTCCACCTGTGCCCGCCTTGCTGTTTGTTTGTTTCTCTTTAGCAGCCAAGACTGCGGCATCTTGCTGCTGTGCATCTTGCGCGCGGCGCGCGCGCAGAGCCTCGGGGGTCATCTTGGGGCCATCTTGGAGGAGGTCGGTCAAAGGAGGGGCGCTAATTAGGGTCCCCCGCCAAAACTTGAGTAACAGCAGGTATTCTGGCCATCTCGCCGAGGCCATCTTGGACGCTCCAAAGACCCCCGAAATCCCCCTCCAGATCCAGTGGGAGGGGGGAGGGGGCAGTGGGAGAGGTAAACGCCTACCCGAAGGGGAAGAAAAGTTAGAAGAAGAGGAAGAAGCCTTAATTCCGGGTTGGGGGGTGTACGGGTTCCATCGTGCTTCCTCGATGTTCTGGAGTGCCCCCTGCTGGAGATGTACCAGCCCAACGGTGATTTCGGTTTGGGCTGAGGTGGTTTGGTAGGTAATCAGAGCCCTCTCGGGTCGTGAACCCCCTCCCTGAGAGCCAAGCGTTCGAATTTTTCACAGGGGGCGTTTTCTCCCGCTGTCGTGCCCTGGGGACCCTCACAGATCGATCCGGCATGACAAAGTGCATATGAAGATGGGTCTGCGGCCCTGGGCGTGATCTTATACGATATTCGAATTTTTCGCAACGTTGGATCTCAGGAGCCCCCTCGCGTTGTGACAAATACAGCGGGCGGGTTTTTGCTGTTTTCGGCCTCTGGGGGGCCCTCGCCGGGCCCTGGGGCTGCCCCCAAAAAGGCCAGGGACGAAAAAATTGTCCCAGGGACGTGGTCTAGACCTCGTGGGGTCCACGTTTTGTACACGCCACGACGTCGGAGTTCTGGGGATGCCGGAATCGCTGCCCCGGGCCGTCGTCGTCGTCGTCGTCGTCGTCGTCGTCGTCGCCGCCGCCGCCGCCGCCGCCGCCGCCGCCGCCGCCGCCGTCGTCGTCGTCGTCGTCGTCGTCGTCGTCGTCGTCGTCGTCGTCGTCGTCGTCGTCGTCGTCGTCGTCGTCGTCGTCGTCGTCGTCGTCGTCGTATTCGTCGTCGTCATCATCGTCGTTGTCGTCGTCGTCGTCGTCGTCGTCGTCGTCGTCGTTGTAGTCGTCGTCGGCGGCGGCGGCGTCGTCGTCGAGCTCCTGAGGTTAGAGGGCCGTGCCGTCGTTGTCGTTGGCTTCGCTTCTGGAGGCTCATTATTGTCGATCCCTCCTGCCTGGTGCCCATGTACATTTTTCAATTGAAGTGCCCTACTGGGGTTCGCATCCTTTCTCATCACGATTGAGCCTCAAATTACGTTGTTGGCTCCTAGACTTACAACAACAGCGGCGCCCGCTTGTAACTTCCAAAACCGCGCTCTCGCTCGAGACTTCCTCACAAGTTACTCACGAATCGCTCTCTCGCCTAAGACTTCCATGCGATTTGCTAAGGCCCTGCGCTCTCGACGTCCAGAAATCAAAGCTCTCGCACGAGACCTTCTCGCAATTTGCTTTGGCCTCGTGCTCTCGGCTGAGGTTTCTTTTCACGGAATTGGCATCGCTGCCCCTCCGCCCGACCCGCCCGTTAGGGCCCGCCGGCCCGACCCGCCCGTTTGGGCCCGCCCGCCAGACCCGCCCGATGGGGTCCGCCTGTTCGCCTGCTTGGAAGCCCGCCCGCCCGGCTTTCATGTCCGGCCCGACCCGCCCAACAGGGTTCGCCCGCCCGACCCGCCCGTGGGGGGCCGCCCGCCCGACCCGCCCGCCAGGGCCGGCCCGCCCGACCCGGCCGTCAGGGCCCGCTGGCCAGAATCATGGGTCCCCTCTTTTCCCCGCCTCCTGCTGAATCTTCTTCCTGGCCCTCAGTCCTCCTCCCTCCCTCGTGCCCCCCGCCTTTCTCGTTTCCTCCTCCTTTCCTCGCTCTGTCCCTTTTCCTGTTCCCTCCTCCTCCTCCTCCTATTTCAGGGGCCGCGCAAACCACATGTGGCAGGCAAGGGAGACATACTCCTCAAAGAGGGTACGGTCGCGGACGAAGACGGGGGTATCGATGGTTTGGGGTATACCTTTTTGACATGGTGAATCTTATGCGAGCAGCGAAAAGCGAACCGTCTTAAACTTATCCTCGAGATCTTAATCTAGAAGGGTATTTTTTTGATCACCCCCGGTGCCTATTGCGTTTTTCCATTGAAGTGCCCCCTGTTCTTACCAAGGAAAGTCTTGAGCCTCAGACTGTGCCCTTGGCCCGTGGCTTATAACAACAACAGCGGCTTCCGCCTGATACTTCCCCACAATGTATTGAGGATTCGCGCTCACGCTCAAGACTCCCTTCAGTTTGTTAAAGCGCAGCGCCCTCAACGTGCAGAAACCGCGCTCTCGCATGATATTCCCTCGCAATTTACTCAGGACTCGTGCTCTCGCCTGACGTTTCTTCGCGACCTGCGGAGTTCGCTTTCTTGCCCGCCCGCCCGACCAACGGGCCCGCCCGCCAGACCAGTCCGTCAAAGTCCTTCCGTCCGACCCGCTTGTCAGGGTCCGCCCGGTTGTTTGCTTGAAGCTCGCCCGCCCGCCTCAATGTCCCGCCCGACCCGCCTGACCTGCTCGTCAGGATCCGCCCGTCCGCTTGCTTGGAAGCCCTCCAGCCCGCTCCAATGCCCCGCCCGCCCGACCCGCCCGTGAGGGTCCGCCCGCCCGACCCGCCCGCTGGGGCCGGCCCGCCCGACTGGGCCGTCAGGACCCGCTGGCCAGAACTATTTGTCTTCTTTCCCCCCCCGCCTCCTGCTAAATCTTCTTCCTGGCCCTCAGTCCTCCTCCCTCCCTCGTGCCTCCCTCCTCTTTCAAAACTCCTCCTTTCCTCGCTCTCTTCCTATTCCTGTTCCCTCCTCCTCCTCCTCCTCCTTCTCCTCCTATGTCAGGGGCCGTGCCAGATACACGTGACAGGCAAGGGAGATATGCCCCCAAAGGGGGTACGAGCGAAGACGAACAGGGCGGGCATCGAGGGTTTGGGGTGTACATGTTGAATTCTAGGTGAGCAGCGAAGAGTGAACAGTATTGGTTTCGTCGTCATCGTCGTTGTCGTCGTCTTTTGCCTTGGTCGGTGCCCTGGGGAGCCGTCCTCTTCACGGCTAGACTCACCTCGGAGTCCTGGCCAGCGGTAGCGGTAGCGTGTCTCTGTACCCCCTGATGATTACGAAGACATCGTCATCATCACCATCATCATCACCATCACCATTATCGTCATCATCAAAATAATGATCATCCACATCATCAACATCGTCATCACCATCATCATTATTATCATCATCAACATCATGATCATCCTCATCATCATCAACATCATCATCATCATCATCGAAAACATCATCATCACCATCATCATCATTACCATCATCACCATCATCATTAACATCATGATCATCGCCATCATCCATATCATCATCCTCATCAGGGTAATCATCATCAACCTCACCATCACCATCGAACACATGATCATCAACATCATGATCAGCATCATCATCACCATTATCATCGACATCATGATCATCATCATCATCAGCATCAGCACCATCATCAGCATCATCAGCATCATGGTCATCATGATCCTCATCATCGTCATCATCGAACACACCATCACCATCATCATCATCATCACCATCAACATCATGATCATCATGATCATCAGCATCACCATCATTATCACCATCATCACCATCACCATCATCATCATCACCACCATCATCATCAGTGTCATCCCTAGTATCATCATCATCATCATCAGTATCATCAGTATCATCATCATCATCATCATCATCATCATCATCATCATCATCATCGGTATCATCATCATCATCATCATCATCAGTATCATCATCATTATCATCGTTATTATTGCCATCAGCATCATCATCGTCGTCATCATCATCATCATCATGATCATCCTCATCATCATCAGTATCATAATCATCAGTATCATCATCATCATCATCATCATCACCATCAGTATCATCCTCATCATCCTCATCATCATCATTGTTAGTATTGTCATCAGCATCATCATCGTCGTCATCATCGTCATCATCATCATCAGCATCATCATCATCATCCCAGGCTCTGATGCCGCCGGGCCCTGGCCAGAAGAGCTACATCATCGGCTTCGAGGTCGGGGACGCCAAGAACTTGCGGGTCGAGTCCGGCGCGGCGACCTGTAGCCCGTATGTCGTCGTCAGCAGCTGTGGGAGGCAACACAGGAGCGAGATCTTGGAGGACAGATTGTGTAAGCAGGTTAACTTCAATGGCGTGAGCAACATCTGGATGGATGTCCTGCTGGACCAGGAGCAGTTCGATTCAGCCTTCATAGAGTTCGCCGTGTACGCGCGTGAGTTCTTCACGAGGAACCAGCTCATTGGCAAGGCGGCGCTGCAGCTGGCCTTCGTGAACAAGAGAGACGGCCAGCTCTTCAGGCTCAAGCCAGTGAACCTCCGAAAGGAGGGCGTCGCGGAGATCACTGGCATCCTGACGGTCACCTGCTTCGTGCTCCAGCCTGGCCAGTCGGTCCCCAACTGGAAGACGGAGGCCATCTCCGAGCGCCGTGACGACGAGGGCCAAGAACAGGACGACCTGCTCGACATCAACAAGAATGTGCTCAGGAGCAGGGCTCTGGAGGACGACAACGCCAAGGCCTACAACCTCAAAATCAACATCCACAGGATAGAGCAGCTGCAGCCGAGGAACGGCGTGAAGCTTTCCCCGTTCGTGACAGTCGAGTTTGCTGGACACAGGGTTGAGGTCCCAGCGGCAGTAGAGGTCGATAGGTACGCCTGGAACGTCACCTGCAGGATCCCCGTGCAAACGCCCGTCTACGAGGAGACCATCCTCGTCAAGCTCTGGCACGACCCTCGGAAGGGTGCGAGCTCCTTCCTGAAAGCCCTCGCCCCCGACGAGCTGCTGGCGGTGGGCCAGATCTCCTTCACGGGGCTCTGGCAGACTCCCCTGCGGCCCAGGTGGTTCTGCCTGTACGGCTGGAATCCGACCGAGATCCCCGCCGACGGCTTCAAGGGCGCCGTGCCCGAGGAAATCGACGAAGAAAAGACGGCATAAATAGAAATTTTTGGCGCTCCGCGCGGATTTCTTGGATCCGCCCTGGGTCCCCCTGGCGGCGCCTCCGGCGCCGCCCCTGGCGCGCTCCGCGCGCCAGGGAGGGGGTCCAGCGCAGATCCAAGAAATCCGCGCGGAGCGCCAAAAGTTTATGCTTATGGTGTTTTTTTCTCCCCATAGAGGAAAACTACTTTATAGGCCAGCTGCTGATCTCCGGAAGCGTCGCGGCCGTGGCCGACATGGAGGACTTCAACGCCTCCGCCGGCGTCGACGAGATGACCCAGCTCGCGCAGGACCCGCCGGGGGTGCAGACCTCGCTGATGGCCAACGTGCACGAGGTGCACGGCGTGGTCGGCCGATCGTGCAAGGTCGAGCTGCAGTTCGGGGAGGTTCAGGAGGGGAAAAAACACACAGACACAATTATTCGTCGACTCCCCAGAAAATATACGAAAATATGGGAATTGGGCGGGAAGACAAAAATCCAGAAAATATGGGAAAATATGGGGAATCATTTTATTTGTGTGTATTTATTTGTGTGTCCCAGGGCCCCTTCAGAGGTGTCCGAGCAGTCGGGCAGCGTGACGTCCTGGGTGCGGCCGTCGCAGTACGGCCGCCACGCTCCGGAGCAGGAGGGGGGGGCCTGGGAGCAGGAGGTGGACAAGGACGCGGAGCAGGAAAAGGTGCCAGCACCGCCAGGCCTCTGCCTCCTCCTCCCTCTCCTCCTCCCCCGCCTCCCCCTTCTGTCCCACCTCTGTGGCAAAGAGGAGGCTTCTGCACGCTGAGCTTTCGGCCTCCCCAGTCAGAGCGTTCCAGAGCGCTTTCGGAACGTTCTGGAACACTCTGGAACGGCCGCGGCGTCCGATGCATCCTCCAGAAATCCAGGTCCGACTTCCTGGCTTCGTCATGTAGGGGAAAGCCTCTCTCTCGGGGGTCCCACAACCGTGTGGTGACAGACCATGTGGTGACCTCGAAATCCCAAGAGACCTCACCGCGCGTCCGTCACCGCATGGTCTTGGAACCTCGGAGGCCCTGGTCGCCCGAGACGTCCTCGCAGAACGACCCTGGTCCCCAAACCGTGCGGTGACCACCAAGCCCCCACTGACTCGCCACGCGGTGTGGTCACCGCACCGTTTGCACCCCCCCCCGACTCTCACCCACTCACTCGCTCCCCAGTGATCGCCCTGTCCTGGCGGGGGAGACCTGGCCTGGGAGGCTGGATTCGCCCTGGGGGTTCCCAGTGTCGGAGCGCAGTGCCCTGCCCCCGAGGACAGGGCGCTGGAGACGGTCACGGGCTTCATCTTCAACAAGCAAGAGGGGCAGATGAAGGCCCGAGGGGCAACGCTGTGGGTCACCACCCACCAAACCACCCCAACCCAACCCGAAGGCTCAGATTTACCCTCGATTTCTAGTGGGGGGGGGTCCGGAAACATCGAAAAAACACATATGGAGCCCATACCCCCCCCCCAGCCCGAAATTCGGGTCTTCGGGTTGGGTTGGGGTGGTCTGGTAGGTAGTCAGTGGGGAGGGCCAGGCTCAGGGAGGGATGCATCGGCCCTCGATCGCCCATGGGTCGCCGATGTGGGGCCCAGGAACGTGCGCATTCGCCATCGGGGGCCTATCGCCGATTTATCGGCGATGTATCGCCTGTTGAGGCTCGGTGTTTCCCTCCCTGAGCTGGTCCACCCGAGCGCTGCCCCTCAAAGGCGCAGATGACGGTTGTGCCCGAGGACGTGGAGTCCCAGCCGAAGGTCTTCATAAATGTCTGGACCAAAGGCGTGCTCTCTGGCACCAGGCGGGTGGCCTACTGCATCATCCCAAGCATTAGCGATTTTCCTCTGTTCAAGCCCGGGCAGCCGTCCAAACCCAAATACTATACCCTCAAGTGCATGCCTGGAGCAGAGCGCCAGCGGGTGCCGCCGTCGATCCTGATGTCGGTGGAGAGGGCCGTGTTAGAGATGGTCTTGGATGACAACAGAAACATACCGAAGAACATACTCCATTCGACTTACGTCCTGCGGGCATACATATTCATGGCTCGCGGCATCTCCACGAACGATCGCGTCGTGTCGACAGAAGACGTGCAAGTCAAAGTCTCCTGTGCTGGTATTATGAAGAGCACGAAGCAGAAACACAGCCGGAGTCAAAAGGGCTTCAAGCGCCCACTGTGGATGACCGTAGTTGAGCTGAGGCTGAGGCTTGTAGCGGAGCACCCTGCAGACCCGCCCAGCATGGAGCCCATTCATTTGACGCTCTACGTCCCTGGTGCGAACAGGGAGATCGGGACCGCAACCTGCATGTACGAGTACACGAGGAAGAAAGACTTTGCTGGAACCTGGGAGGAGTACGACCTGCGCCCTCAGTGGGTGAAGATGTTCGGCGGGGAGCACGACAAGATGTTGAAGGGCGACATACTCGTCTCCTTCGAGCTGCTCAACGCCAAGGACGCGCAGGAGGAGCAGCTCCGCGCCAAGGAAATGTGGCCGCTCCCTGCGAGCCCTCCCAAGCTTGGTGGGCGGCGTCAGCTCGTCGACAATCGCTGGACCAAAATGAAGAAGGCGACGCTGAAGTTCGCGCTCTACGGGCTGCGGGGCCTCGTGCCGGAGGAGAGCTCCTGGACTCGCCCAGGCGACTTCCTGGCGACCAGGGGGTTCCCGAAGGTGAGCGTCAGAGTGAAGGCCTTCGACGGCGAGAAGAGCAAGCCTTACAAGCTCGTCTTCAAGCTCCAGAGCGACGAGAAACAGAAGGGGCGCCTGCAGGTGCTCGTGAAGAAGAGGGAGGGGGGGTCGAAGCCTGAGAGCGTCAGCGTGACGGCAGATTGCAGCGATCAGCCCCTGAAGTACTGGCCGTCCGTGGACGGCCTCGGCAGGGACGGGAAGAACTACGAGTTCTTCGCGGTCGAGAGCCTGAACATCACGCTCCCAGCGGACACGGTGCTGGAGCCGAATGTCCGGATCATCGTCAAGGAACAGGCGGGGGACAACATCTTCAAGACCAGCATGCTGCAGGGGAAGTCCAGGCTGATCGGCGAGCACTCGCTGAACCTGTGCGGCCTGCTCCCCTGCAACTGGTACGGCGTCGAGGGCCTGCCTCCCGACGCGACGGGGGAGAACTTCAAGAAGCACAAGGGCGCGATCGAGAGGGCCAAGGAGGAGGCCATGAAGAAGACGAAGGCACGGCGGGCATTCCAGGAGGAGACGCGCACGCTGAAGAAGCCTGCCAGCGAGGAGCGCGGTGCGGGCGCGGCCTCCGGGAGCGGAGGCGCCCGCGGGTCGGAGCAGAGGTTTGCCCTCGAGAGCAGCGAGCTGGTGGACGCCATGGCGCTGCCGTGCCAGTTCACGGGCTACGTCCCGAAGGCCCGCGGACGGCCTGTGTGCACCGTAATTGCCGCGTGTAGGCGTCTCCCGAGGCGTCGTCGATCTGCGACCAGGGAAGTCAGAGGAGGCGAAGGCACCCACATGCTGCCACCCTCTCCCCGTTGTCCTCCTCGTGGGGCCTCCTGGGAGGTCCTCGTCGCCACCGCTGGACTCGCCTCGAAGTTCTGGTCAGAGCGCGCCCCGGGAGAGGGCCAGGGAGCAGCGGTATCGGTACCTTTTGGCTTCCCCAGGAATGGCACGGCGCACAGTTCTTCGGCCCCCCCAGAGCCGAGCTGCTGTGCACCGTACCTCGTTGGAGCGGGGCCTGAGGGGAGTCCAGGCATGGTGCGGTGCACGGGTGCCGTTCTCGTAAAAGTCGGCGGCGAGCCTGGGGGGGAAGTGAGGAGGAGGAGGAGGAGGAGGAGGCCTTCTCAGAAGGCGGCGGGCCTCCTCAGAAGCCCTCGCGCCTTCTGCCATCGGAGGAAGTTCAGACAACTTCTCGGAAGGCCCGAGACCTTTAGAGCCTTCTGAGAAGGTCCGCCCAGTCTCACTTCCCCCCTCGCTCGCCGCCGAAAAAGGGCATCGAGTGGGGCTTGGTGGCAACGGCACTGGAAAAGCCCCACGACCCCGACGTGAAGGCGCTGGACAGGCTCCTGGCAGCGGAGAACATCAAGCAGTCCCAGAACACACTGAAGGGGAAGCAGAAGCACCCCATTAGGGGGCCACATGCGAACCCTACCCCTACCAACCACGACTTCTGAGGGGGAGGGTGGGGTTCACTTCGCTCGAGAGCTCCCGAGCGAAGTGAACCCCACCCTCTCTCTCAGAAATTGTGGGGGGGTAGGGGTAGAGTTCGCATGTGGCCCCCTACCCATGCTCGTGAGCTGCCGCCAGAAGCTGAGCATTCCGATGGACATGGAGAAGTGTGACGCCCGGCTCAACATGCACATGGCGAAGGTCAGATGGGGAGAGCTCGACCCCCGCTTTTGGGTGACACCGCTACCAGCCCATACCAAGCAAGCTACTGATGGAGGGTACAGAGGGAATTATTGGAGAGGAGGAGGAGGAAGAGGTGGATGTTGATGATGATGCTGCTGCTGATGATGTTGATGCTGATGCTGTTGATGATGCTGATGATGATGAGGAGGAGGAGGAGCAGGAGGAGGAGGAATTGAGTGTGTGTTTGGCTTGACTGTGCATGGCTTGGTAGCGAGGGCGCGGGTCGAAGCCTTACCCGTTGACAAGGGGCTTGAACCGCAGAAGGGGCCCAAACTCATGGCCGAGAAAGGCTCGGCCAGTGGCCGTCCACAGCTAAAGGGATCGCTGGAAGAGATCGACTACCGCGCGGACGACGGAGAGTACTGGACTCCCGACTTCTACTTCCACGGCCGTCCTCTCCTGCGAGACCACGATCTCTTCGACGAGGCGCTGGAGTCAACGGATCGCAGTACGGACTGGCACTTCAGCCCCGAGTGCCGCGGCTTCGTCAAGTTCGCCCTGAAGGTCACCGACGGATGGGAGAATGACAGCGAAGACGATCTCGAAGATGAAGTCAATGAAGAAGGGGGGGATTCGAGTTCGAGCGGGGACGAGCAGAAGGCTCTGCCGGACGAAACAGGTGGCAACGGTGGCGACGGTGGCGGTATCTCTGCGGGCGGCACGAGGGGCCTCAGCTGGTCTTCATCCATGGTCAAATCCAAGATGCCCAGCGCTTCGCGTTGGCACGGACGGTCAGGCTTTCCCTCGTTCTTGTTTCTCCTCTCTTCCTCCTCCTCCTCCTCTGCGCTGTTTGGGCCGTCCTCGGGCCCTCTTGGGCTGTCTTGAGGCCCTCTGGCTCCGGGCCCTCTGGGGCCATCCTGGGCTCTGCGGGAGCCGACTGGAGGCCGTCTTGTGCTGTCCACGGCGGGGAGGGGAAAGCACAGAGGAGCATGTTCCATTTCAGTGGTCAGTATCCCTGAGGTTTGCGATGGTTTTCTGAGGAATCCAGAGGATTCCTGAAGATTCCGAAAGGTTTCCTATGGATTTCTTTGAATTTTTGTTGAGGATTCCTATGGATTTCTAGGGCTCCCTGGGGATTCTTGAGGATGCGTCCTGAGGATTCCTGAAGATTCCTATGATTTCCGATGGATTCTTGAGCTGAGGATTCCTTTGGATTTTCGAGGATTCCCATGGATTCTCATGGTCTCCCCTGGATTCTCAAACTGACGACTCCTCAGGATTTTTTCGGATTCCTGAGGATTCCCATGGGTTCTTGAGTTCTCAGGGATTCCTTTGGATTCGAATTCATGCGAATTCGGGGGGATTGCTGAGGGTTCCGGAGGATCCCTGAGCATTCTTTGGGATTCCTGAGAAGTCCTGGAGAGTCCGGAGGATTCTTGAGAGCCCCATGATCATCGCGATATATCAGGCGCGTGGGCATTCCAAGGACGAGCAGTCAGGGAGAGGGACACTTGCCCGTTCGCGCCCAGGTTGGGGGGATGTCTCAGGATCTTTGCCTGCTTGGTGGTTCCGGCTCCTTGTCTTGAGAGCCCCATGGTTACAGCGATATAGCAGGCGTAGTAGTTGGGCACCCCCAGGAGGAGCAGTCAGGGAGTGCTCAGTCGCCACAGGCTAATTTTGTCATTCAGAAGCTCACAGACGGGAGTGCCAGGAACTGAGATGCACATAGCGGACTCTCTGCGAAGAATACATGCGTTTCGTCGCCACAGAAGGAGTGTACGTGCAAGCTCTCCGCAAATGAAGCCTCTAGAGCTCTCGTGGGTCATGTCTTCGGACCTCTCGTGTGCCTCGTGGGGATTCCTCGGGCCCCTTGCAACGTCCTGAAGATGTCCAGGGCCGTCCTGGTGGCCTCCTGGGACGTCTTTTGGCAGCATCGTGGCCCCGTGCTCGGCCTTTCTGGACGAGGGGAGTGAGTTCGCCCCCCCTCCCCCCCACCCTGCCCCACCACCGCCCCTTCCCCCCCCCCGCCCCTCGGGAGGAGTTCGTACCGCCCCAAGTTGAAGGTTTAGTGTTCAGTGGTGAGGGCGCGTGGGTGTGGTCAAGATATCATAAGCCAGGTGCCCCCAAAGGGGTCGTTGGATATTCGCGGACGGCGACGGCTGGTCTGATTTCTTTTCGATGCAGCGGACGACGGAGAAGGATCCAGACTTGGTTTCTTACAAGATCTTTCCGGATGATCGCGTTCCAGGCGGGGTATCGAAGGGACAAAATGTTAAGTTAGGTGAGTTTCGACAGCAGTGCAAGGTGCGAGTTCGTATTTATTTTGTGAGAGGTGTTTGCACGTATGCTGACCCAGATGGCTCCACAAACCCATATATACAGTACTCGCTGGGAGGCCTAAACAAAGTCAGCATGAAGAGTATGGTTCGAATGGCAGAACCGACTCCAGATTTCTACCGTGTCGAAGAGCGTGATATAGATATGCCAGCTGATGCGCAATTGATTGTGGAGCTGTGGGATAAAGACGAGCCTACCATGCTAGCCAGTGCGGTGCCAGCTGTGGCAAACTCCGACACGCTTATCGGCAGTAGTTTCATTGATTTGGAGGATAGGTGGTATTCGAAAAGGTGGAATAGAGATATGAAGCGTCAGAGGATATGTAAAGAAACCCGAAAGCTAACGAGTTTAAAAGATCCGTTGCTGAACAACGGTACTATCGAGATGTGGATAGAAATGGTAGAGACGGATAAGGTATCTGCCACGAAGCTCTCAGCTCTCAATCGTGATCCTCCTGTTGAGGTCGATGTGAGAATTGTCATTTGGGAGGTCAAAGACGTGAGGCTCGTGGACGGGGATCACACCGACGCGAAGGTAGTGACGAAGCTCGAGTGCAATAACAAATACGGGGGAGAGCCGGGATACCCCAAAACCCAGTCGACAGACGCACATTGGAATTGCCAAGACAATGCCGAATTTAACTACCGGGTAATATCCAGTTGCCTGCGGCACGCCCCGGCTTTCTGCCAGCGCAGCGTTGACATGCATGTCTGATGATCGAGTGTTGTGCTTGTTTGGACATGTCCGAAAGAACTGTCTTGGGCCATCATGGGAGCATCCCGACGATGTCATGACGCGGCGCGGCCGTACTGCTGCATGTTTGCTGCGTGGCCTTTTGGGGGCTTCCTCAAGGCTTCTTAGGGGGCTTTAGGGGCCTCCCGACGCCGTAGCCCTCAGCTAGGGTAATCATGCCTTTTTGCGCCAACCTCTGGGGAGGCGCCCCCCTAGGAACCTACAAAAGAGGAGCACTTCTCCACAACCCTCCTGTGTTGGGCAATCGTTTCGAATAGAGCCTTCCGGTCGCGACTTCTCCTCTTTTTCCTCCTCCTCCTCCTCTTTTTCCTTCTCCTCTTTTTCCTCCTCCTCCTCCTCCTCCTCCTTTTCCTCCTCCTCCTCTTTTTCCTCCTCCTCCCTCCTCCTCCTCCTCCTCCCCTCCTCCTCCTCCTCCTCCTCCTCCTCTTTTTCCTCCTCCTCCTCCTCTTTTTCCTCCTCCTCCTCCTCTTTTTCCTCCTCCTCCTCCTCTTTCTCCTCGTCGTCGTCGTCGTCGTCCTCCTCCTCCTCCTCCTCCTCCTCCTGTCTCCCGTCTCCGCCTGCCTCCTCTTGCGCTGCTCCCTGGGTGGCTGCGAACTGCGCAGCCGTCACCACTTTCGTGGGCTCCTGGCAGGCTCGGCGGAGGTGGGGGCCATCCTGATCCATTGGGGTCCTCGCGGCTCCCTGGGTGGTCACGAACTGCGCTTTTGTCGCCACTTTCGTGGGCTCTGGGGGAGTCCAGCAGAGTCGGGGGCTGTTCGGATTCATTGGGGATCTCGCGACTCCCTGCGTGGCTGCGAACTGCGCAGCCGTCGCCACTTTCGTGGGCTCCTGGGAAGTCCGGTGGAGTGTGGGGCCACGCGGATCCATCGGGGACCTCGCTGTTCCCTGGGTGGCCGCGAATTGCGCAGCTGTTACTATTTTCGTGGGCTCCTGGGAGGTCCAGCGGCCCTTGGGACCTCGCTGTTCCCTGGGTGGCTTCGAACTGCGCAACTGTCACCACTTTCGTGGGCTCCTGGGGGGCACGGCGGAGTCGGGGGCCACGCGGAACCATGGTGGACCTTGCGGCTCCCTGGGTGGCTGCGAGCTGCGCATCTGTCACCATTTTCGTGGGCTCCTGGGAGGCACAGCGGAGGTGAGGGCAGCGCAGATCTATTCGAGACCTCGCGACTCCCTCGGGTGGCTGCGAACTGCGCTTTTGTCACCACTTTCGTGGGCTCCTGGGAGGTCCAGCGGAGTCGGGGGCCACGCGGACCCATAGGTGGCTGCGAACTGCGCAGCTGTCACCACTTTTGTGGGCCCCTGGGAGGTCCAGCGGAGGTGAGGGCAGCGCAGATCCATGTGAGACTTCGCGGCTCCTTTGGGTACTGCGCAGTTGTCGCCACTTTCGTGGGCTCCTGGGAGGCACTGCGGAGGTGAGGACAGCGCAGATCGTGCATATCTGGCGATGTGGCCATACGTATGGAAAGTTCAAACGCCTCGCGTGGAGAAGGGGTCGGGCACGCTTCGGGTAATTGCTAGCACTTCGCGGTCGTGCAAGCGGTGTGGCGGATTCAACAAGATCGAAACACCCACCACCAATTGCACTATCGGTTTTTCGCTGTACGACGAGAACAGAATTAGTGGTGACGTAAAAGTCGGGGATGTGGCCATCGACATCACGAAGCATGTGATGAAGGTAATGAAGGAGGGAGATTCCATTCGGATGCAGAGCCAAGAGGTGAAATTCATGGACGAGACGGCAGAAGAGGATGACGAGACTGAGCACTGTGGCATATTGAGGTTCGAGCTGTGGGTTCTCACGACGATCGAGGCCAACACCAAGCGCCAGGGCCTGGCGTGGTCCGAGCCCAATGACGACCCGGCGCTCAACGCGCCCACTAAAGGGCGCAGCATGTCCGACCAGTTTGCCGCATTCGCCTTTGATTTCAGTGGTTTCGACACGGCCCTCCTGAAGAAGGTCCTGCCCGTCATCATCTTCGCACTTCTGTGCTTGGTCCTCCTGAGATGGCTTGGGCTCCTCTAGCACTTAGCACGTAGAAGCTGGAGCGTGGCCAGGATCTCTTCGCGTGTCTGGCGTAGCCAGCCGCGAGTTCGGAGCTGTGAGCACTCCATAGCACTCCGTGCAATGCCGAGCATTGTGCAGCGTGCACCAGCTCGCCTTTTCGATAAGCGCGCCTGTTCCAGCGGACAGAGCTGGCAAAGCTCGCTGCAGAGCATGAGAATCACCTACAGGTATCACAGTAGCAGCCGACGCCTGAACTGAGAGGCCCCTCCTGTGATTATGAGATGCCTCTGCGCTCTCAACAACATCTGCAGCCGCATGGTGCCCGACTGGCGACAGCGAAAGCGAAAGCGAAAGCGAAAGCGATGGCGACGATGATGATGATGATGATGATGATGATGATGACGATGATGATGATGATGATGATGATGATGATGATGATGATGATGATGATGATGATGATGATGATGATGATGATGATGATGATGCTGATGATGCTGATGCTGATGCTGATGCTGATGCTGCTGATGCTGATGCTGATGATGCTGATGATGATGTGATGATGATGATGATGATGATGATGATTGATGATGATGATGATGATGATGATGATGATGATGATGGCTGCTGCTGCTGATACTGATGATGCTGATGATGATTATGATGCTGATGATGCGGATGATGATGCTATTGATGATGATGGTGATGGTCATGCTGCTGCTGCTGATGATGATGATGATGCTGATGCTGATGATGATGATGATGATAACGCTGCTGCTGCTGGTGCTGCTGCTGCTGCTGCTGCTGATGATGATGATGATGATGCTGATGATGATGATGATGATGATGATGATGATGATGATGATGATGATGATGATGATGATGATGATGATGATGATGATGATGATGATTATGATGACATGTATGATGATCTCGCCGCCGACGACGACGACGATGAGCACGACGACGACGACGACGACGACGACTGGAGCCACGACCACCATGAGGAGGGAGGATGACAAGGGATAGGGCGAGGATGTATGAGGAAGGAGGCATTGGCGAGGAGGTGCGATGGAGGATGGACGGGGTGAATGGAGGACGGAGGAATGCAGGGGGGAGGGGGAAACGTGTCATGGTGGATGAGGAGGAGGAGGAAGAGGAGGAGGAGGAGGAGGAGGAGGCGGAGGAGGAGGAGGAGGAGGAATATCATGAGGATGAGGAGGAACATTACGAGGAGGAGGAGAAGGAGGAGGAGGAGGAGGGGGAGGGAGGAGGAATAGGATGGGGAGGCGCGGGAGGAGAACGAGGTGGAGACTGAGGAATTTAGTAAATGGCCAGAGAGGGGAAGGAACAACGCCGATGGGCCGTCGTGCAACTGAGCAACAGGAGCACGGGCTAACACATGAACCCGGCGGGAACCACAACTTAGACGAGCGGATTGCCCGTCTTGGGGTGTTTGCCAGCCTTTCTGGTATTGATGTTACATCTTTGCCTAAACCTGGCCTGCTTCTCCTCATATGGGCACATTTCGCCGCCTGCGCAGACGCTTGGTAGCAGGAGGAGGAAGAGGAGGGGGATGACGGGGGTTAAGGATTTGAGGGATGTGGAAGAGGAGCAGGATGACATTGAGGAGGGGGAGAGTGTGAGGAGAGAGGGAGGGAGGGTGGATGGGGAAAGGTAAGGGGAGCGGGAGGAAGGTTGAGGAGAAACAATGGAGGGCACTGAGGAAACATGGGGGGATGGATGGATGGCAGGAAGGAAGGGCTGACGGAAGGAGGGAAAGACGGAAGGAAGGAAAGAGAGAAGGAAGGAAGGTGTGATGCTGATGCTGATGATGATGTTGCTGCTGATGATGAAGATGATGCTAATGATAATGATGATGATGATGCTGATGATGGGAATCAGGATTGTGATGGTAATGATGGTGATGGTGATGGTGATGGTGATGCTGTTATTGATGGTGATGATGGTGATGCTGATGCTAATGATGATGATGCTGAGGCTGCTACTGATGATGATGGCGATGACGATGGTGATGATGATGAAGACGATGCAGATGATGAAGATGAAGATGCTGATGCTGCTGCTGATAATGAGGATGAGGGTGATGGTGATGCTGATGAGTATGATGATGAGGAGGAGACGGAGCATGCTGATGCTGATGATGATGCCGATGATGATGCCGATGATGCTGATGCTGATGATGATGGTATGGTGATGGTGATGCTGATGGTGATGATGATGATGCTGATGCAGTCGATGACGATTATGCTGATGCTGATGATACTGCTGCTGCTGATGATGATGAGTATGACGATGATGCTGCTGATGATGCTGATGATGATGACAATGGTGATGATGCTGACTGATGATGACGTTGACGATGATTGTGATGATGACGATGGTGATGATCATGATGATGTCGATGATGATGATGATGATGCTGATGATGCTGCTGCTGCTGCTGATGATGATCATGACCACGCTGATGATGGTGATGATGCTGATGCTGTTGCTGATG